TCTGTAGGATTGTATTTAGTTCTGGGTCCTCTGGTGTAAAAAAGATGGTGAAGGGCCTGGAACATCTCCCCTATGAGGAAAGGCTGAGTGAAGTGGGTCTGTTCAGCCTTGAGAAAAGAGGACTCAGATGTGATCTGATTGATGTTTATAAATATCTTAAGTGTGGGAAGTAAAGGGACATGGCCAACTTCTTTTCAGCAGTCTGTGGGGACAAGACAAGAGGAAACTGACATAAAATTGGGCATAGGAAGTTCCACACCAATATGCAAAGAAAATTCTTCACAGTAAAGGTGATGGAGCACTGGAACAGGCTGCTCAGGGAGGTTATGGATTTTCCTTCTCTGAAGATATTCAAGTCCCACCTGGATGTCTACCTGTGCAGCCTGCTGTAGGCGGCCGGCTTTGCAGGGGGTTGGACTCGAGGATCTCTGTAGGTCCCTTCCAACCCCTACAATTCTGTGATTCTGTGACATAATTACAGGAATGTAGCTAACATGAGTCTTCCTTTGGATTATACTCTTTGGATTATACAAATCTGTAAGGAAATGAAAGTAGTACCTGTTCAAGAAAACCCCATATTTTGGTACAGTGGACATATGGAATTAAAATAATTGTTAAATTCTAGAAATTAAAGTAGGAAAACATGGACTACTGACATTAGGTGTCAAATTTTACAAACAATGGACTTACAGTGTCAAAAAAGAAATTTTACATTGCAGTGTTATCTGTAGGCATGTGGAGGACTGAGTGTGATGCTCTTACTGAATGACAAACAGAAGATGAATCCATCCAATCCCCAAGCCACAGTAGTCATATGCCAGGTGTCATTTTTTGAGCATGACAGAAGTCTCAAAGCAAGATGCTGACAAAGAGAAATGCTGTACAAAGGATCTATCATGTTAATATTCCCCTATGTGAGAACATTACACAGGCCAAAAGAAAAACAATGACATATCCTACCCCTGGGGCAGCCCTTTCAACCCTTACTGACTCTCAGAAATCCTGATCAGAATAAAATAGAAGCACTGTTACCTCCTCAGAACTAAAACTGCCATAGGAGTTTGTTGTTGTTGTTGTTTGTTTTTGTTTGTTTGTTTGTTTTTCCCTCATCTCTTTTGGTAAGCAGAAATTCACGGATTTATTAGTCAATATATGTGATACATGAGAAAGCTGAAGTGAAATTTGAGCAACAATATAATGGATACTACAATGACTAGAAGTACCTCTAACATATAGTTAAATAAAATATATACTTACACACATATACACATATACATAGTAAATAAAATAAGTATGGCAATATGGCAGAACATATTTACTAAAGTAAAATTGGGCATATTAAGCTTTCTTAATATGTATGTTATTGGAAATTCTGTAGCCTAGTATGTGATCTGTTTTCTTCATAGGCATAAAAGAAGAGGATATACTATGAGTAATAATGGAAGGAGGGATCACAGGACACATCAACAAGAATCAGTAACTATTAATCAGTACTTAATAATCATTCAGAATTGGAAAAGCACACAAGTAGACCATAATCAGGCAATTCATATACCTCAGACATTTGGGAATTTTGGCCCAAAGATTGATTGGAAACTGATGGACAGGAACAACATGATCCCAGTATCTGAAACTTCAGTGAGTCTTTGTTGAATACATTAATAAATCTTTCATTGTATTGGCAGGCTATTAGTTTTAGTGATCCCTGATTTTCATGCAGCCGACATATCACGTATACTAGTTTTAGATATTGAAATTCCTAGACTATGACAACACATATGGCCATCTTTTTTGGAGGATCAACTCCAAGCAGCCTAGCAGAAGGTATTTCCCAATAAAGCAAAACAAAATTAAACAAAATATTAGCATTTTAATAAACATACTATTCCTTCCTAGAAATATAGGTATAGCTGTGTTTTTTAAGTCAACAATGTAGAGGCTATATAACAATCAGACATAAGTGGGAGAGCAGCAGCCAACAACTTATTAAATTCCAGTTCTGAGGATGTCATTTTGATCCCAATGTTAAACATTTATTTTATTTAGCACCCATTTTTTTTTTTTTTAAATATTGATGTTACATCTTCAGAACAAAGAATTTATGCCTCTATTTGGATTGAACTGTTAAAGGAATAGGAAATCAAAATATTCTTTTTATGATAAAGAAGCATAATAGGAACAGTGCTATAGTACATACAGCTCAGAAGCTTTATTCAAATTAGCTTTTGTCTAGTCCCTGGATTGAATACCATCCTGAAGGGATATCACATTGAGTTTCTGGAATTTTGAGCTTATTTTCTTTGGTTATAGTGACAGATTCTTGTACCTGTCAAAATCTAAGTTATGTTCACAGTATAAAGGTATTGTATCACTCTGTGACTTTTTCTTTTCTTTCATTTCCTTTTCTCTTTTTTCTTCTTCTTCTTCTTCTTTTTTTTTTTTCACCAACCTAGTAGCCTTCTATGATGTTGTCACATGCTGGGTGGATGGAGGAAGAGCGGTAGATGTAGTCTACCTTAATTTTCATCAAGGCATTTGATACTGTCTCCCACGACATCCTTATAACAAAGCTAAGGAAGTGTGGGATAGATTAGTGGACAGTGTGGTGGGTTGAAAACTGACTGACTGGCAGAGCACAGAGGGTTGTCGTTGGCGGTGCAGAGTCTGGCTGGAGACCTGTAACCAGCGGTGTTCCTCAGGGGTTGGTGCTGGGTCCGGTCTTGTTCAACATCTTCATCAATGACCTTGATGAGGGGATAGTGGCCACCCTCAGCAAGTTTGCTGATGATATGAAGTTGGAAGGATTGGATGACACACCGGAAGGCTGTGCTGCCATTCAGCAAGACCTGGACAGGCAGTAAGAAACCAGATGAGGTTCAACAAAAACAAGTGTAGTCTTACACCTAGAGAGGAATAATTGCATGCACCAATACAGGTTGGGGGGATGAGCTGCTGGAGAGGAGCTCTGCAGAGAGGGACCTGGGTGTCCTGGAGGACGACAGGTTGGCCATGAGCCAGCAGTGTGCCCTTGTGGCCAAAAAGGCCAATGGCATTCTGAGATGCATTAAAAAGAAAGTGTCCAGCAGGTCAAGGGAGGTGATCCTCTCACTCTATTCTGCCCTGGTAAGGCCTCATCTGGAGTACTGTGTCCAGTTCTGGGCTCCCCAGTAAAAAAATACAAGGATCTCTTGGAAAGAGTCCACCGGAGGGCCACGAAGATGCTGAAGGGCCTGGAGCATCTCCCCTATGAAGAAAGGCTGAGTGAACTGGGTCTGTTTAGCCTTGAGAAAACACAATTGAGAGGGGATCTAATCTAGGTTTATAAATACCTAAGGTGTGGGGGCCACAGTGGTGAGGCCAGTCTCTTTTCAGTGGTACATGGAGACAGAACAAGGGGAAATGGACATAAGCTGCAGCATAGGAAGTTCCACATGAATGTGCGCAAGAACTTCTTTACAGTGAGGTGACGGAGCACTGGAACAGGCTGCCCAGGGGGGCTGTGGAGTTTCCTTCTCTGGAGATGTTCAAGACCTGCCTGGATGCCTACCTGTGTGACCTGGTGTAGGGAACCTGCTTTGGCAGGGGGGTTGGTCTCAATGATCTCTGGAGGTCCCTTCCAACTCCTATGATTCTGTGAGTCTGTGAAGTGCATACAAAGCAAAGGTGTGTTACGCTTATCAACATTTTCTGAACATTTATGGGGATCAAACAGTGGATGTAAGCACAGCAGGGCACTGGGTAGTGTGTTTCACCAGTTCAGACAGCAATGTGAAAGGAAAGCCATATTCTGGAAAGTCATAAAGATTTCTAGCATATAGGCTCTCATTTGTTGCTTGCCAAAATGCATGCTAATGGTTGTGACTACATCAAAAATTAGCATTTCGCAGCTGAGAATTTGCTCTATCAAATAGTGTTATTGTGCTCTTTGTATTTGCTGCAGGTTCCATGGAAATAAATAGCAGACATTAGTTTTGGAGTAATCTATGTAAATTCCATGCCAGTATGTTGCTTGAATTCTTTATTTATTATTAATTTAGGGAGTATGTAGAGTTCTTGATATGAAGTAGTGGAAAAAGATCCCTTTTTAACTATTGAATGGAAACGCAGGAACTGCTGTCTTCCTTGTGTTATCTCATCAATGTATCACATTCCCAACCAAGAATCTAAGAGGAAAGTTGAGCCTCCATATTCAGCCAGCATCCTGCTGGGAATACATGCAGATAGCTTTTACTTCTTTTACCATACAGTCTTTTACTTTTTTCCATGTCAGTGGCATCAACCACTTTCTTATTTTTGGTGCCTTTCACCACCCTAAGGATAGAAAGGAGAAATGATTTTAAAATACTGTGTTAATTAGCATACAATCACCCATATTATGAAATGAGACCCACATACAAATTTAAAAAACAAACATCAGAATCATCCAGTAGTCATTAGGGATATGTGTACACGAATATATCTGCAGATATTTTATTGAAGGATGAGGATTTTAAATGCAATTTCAATTTTCAAAACAACTTCTTTTTCCTGTATGTAACTCAGTGAAACTATATTAAATAAGCTACCAAGTGCACATAAACTTCAGTGAAAAACTGGCATTAATTCCTTGCACTCTACTGCTATTTGTGACTCAGAAACCAAAACCCAGTGTAGGATTTTTATTTTCACTGATAGGCACACTGACATAAATTAGCTATTTTCAGTGGAGTTGCTCTTCAACTTTAGATTGCATATCTAAAATCAGTATCAAAGGAAAGCCATCTTCTCTGAAGATCACCCTGATACGACCTAAACCAAAACCCTTGTTTCTTGCAGCATGCAGCCATTTCTGCTAAAACACATAACGCAAATATTTCTCTATTTTTTTTATCTGACATCTGGTTGACATAGTCTGACATTTATTGGATGATTTTGTATTAACTTATTGATTTGCTACTTCAGGATTCTTTACCTTTGCTTTCCTTATTCCCTCAGTTCTCTTGTTACATTGAGGCACAGACGCAGTTTCAGCTCAGTTTACTACTCCACATGATGCCCACCTTTCAGGAATTCTATCAGCACTTCCTGAGGCAAACAATACCCCTTTACCTCACAGACCTAGCAAAACTGAACATTTTGGAAGCTGATCTCAATCAGTACTTACCTCCCAACTGCCCATTTTCCTGGAAGACTTGAAGTATACTGCAGCACATTCTGTTATTTTCTTATTCATCATTCTGCTGCATGGTCAGAAAATAAACTCCAGCTTCTTAGATTATGTACCACACTATCAAAAGCTAAAGAAATACATATGTGTTCTCCCTTGCATGGATAGCTGCAATCATATAAATCAGTCCCAAATGAGAGTTTGGATTTCTTCTACTGCATTTCCTCTCAGGCATGAGGAATGACGTTGATTTTTATATAAAGACTCATTTTATCTTCATATATAATACATTTCCAATGCTACTGTCTCTCTTCCATTGGTTTCTATGCCTACATTGCAGCTTGTAAGGCTATGCAAAAATAAAATCACCAAAAATGGTCTCTTACTCTGTGTAAGCAATGCCGTTAGTAAATGGTATCTCAAGCTTAGCTTTTTTAACCATGATATAAAGATAGTTCTTTTATTCCATTTTTTTAACTAGTCTATTACTACACAAAAAAGAAAGATTGCAATTACATGGAACAGCAATTACTCATTTTATATATAGTCTCCTTTGCTTCACTAGTTTCCAAAGTAACTAGTTTGAGAACCACAACAACAAAAAATTTATACTTCTGTGTCATGTACTTGGCTTACTAGCTGCTTGTTAAACAGTATGCATTAAAGCAAATAAAAAGAAAATTGCTCAAATGTAAAGCAACAGAAAAAATAGCAGCCAAAGAGTTAAGATCAAAATTATCCCTAACTTGAAGGAAAAGAAATATAAAACTTGGTAGGAGTCTGGGAAAAATTTGTTTTTAGACTTGCTGAGAGGTTTTTTTTTCTTGTTTGTCTCCCACTCCAACCTAATCTTTGGATTTTTAAAATTCTTAATTTTTAGGTTCCATTTTTTTGTGTTGTGTTTCCACTAATGTGGTTCCAAAATCCTGGTACTAACGTTTACGCTACGTTTCATATACACCTATACATACCCGTCCCTATTAGCTTATTAGAAGAGAATTCTACATAACAGCCATCTAATTATCATGGAAGAGCAGGATTCTTTGTTTAATTCTTATATAATAATGGTGAAAAAGGCATTCAGGTAATAAGAATGAGAGGGTTGCTATCAATCATTTGCATTGCAAAGGCAAATTTGTTGGACATTCTTTTTGTTCCAGATCGAAATTAGGTCAGTTTTAACAAGACAGCTTGACTACTGACTTTACTGAAGAACAAAAATGCATATATTTCTATAAAATACAAAAAAAAAAAAAAGTTAGAGAAAACTAAAATAAGTGCAGTAAGTTGAACTCAATTTGGACATGCAATGTTGGGGGAAGCTCTGCCTCTCCGTTATGGGAGTTGTAGGGCCCTAAATACAGTGGTGGAAGAAACAGCGTTCATAAACATTCCTGATACTAATGCTAACCAGCTGAGAATAATCAGTATCTTTGTTATTGGATTTCCAGACCCTGGAAATATTTAATATTGTGGTCACATCTAACATATCTGTTAGAAATTATCTTTTTTACTAAAATGTGTACAGGAATTACTTTGTAGTGCGATCACTGAATTACTTGAAAAGTTTATCAGATCATTCTTCAATTAACAGCATAAATAAAATGCAGTGTATGCAAATACTCCATAGAAATGTGGTTTACTAATACTTATGCTTCCTTAGATAGCACCTTGGACAAAATGCTTGCTAAATGGCTAACATTACGTGATATGATTCACATGCCTAAAAATCTTCATATATAAGGCAGAAGGTATTGCTGCAGTTGATGGACAGAGTTCCAATTGAACTAGCCAATTATTCAGGCTGCATGTGCAAAGGTCTTAAATCCAAAACTTCAGTACTTCACTGTACACATGACCTACTACACATGAAGCCCACATGCCTGGAATTCTGCTTCTGATTTCTCTCAAAATTAAGAGAATGTGGAATCTTTCTATTAAGGCTGAAAATAGAACAAAAGAATATATGAAGAAGTACTATCTGTATTGTCTAAGCTCAGTATTTCTCTTTCACCAAACAATTCTAACACCTTATCAGCTGTCAGAAAGCTATAATAACTAGATCAGTGTGGACTAACTGATAGCTTACTTGGTATTGCCCTTGCTCTCAGGATGCTTCCGTCTACTCAACAGACTATCAAGACTAAGGGGCACATGGTCAGACCATTATTTTTATCTGTACCTACCCACTCATCAAGCCCCCCATGACCCAACACAAAGTCAGGTTGCTGTTGCTACTTTTTATGAGACTGCTGCTGGTGGGATGTGGAAGTGATACTGCAGAAACTGAAGCAGCAGCTACCTAGAACACCTATATTGCAGCAACTGTCTTAGCTGTGTGTTCTTCATTCAGCAGCAGCCCAATGCTCTGGCACAGGCTTGAGTTTTGTTTCTATTTCTGTTGTTACCTGTGGCTTTCTGCACCATGTTGGGAAAGGATATGTGTATTACAGAAAGGTAATAGGAAACTTAGCCAGGAGTAAACTGGGTACAAGTAATTGATGGAAGCAGGTGTAATTGATGGAAAATAGGATGTAGGTTGGAAATTGCAATTTTTGACAAACAGTTTATGCTTCAAGAATGTGTCTCATATCTCATCCTAAATGCTATATATAAACTCTGCTGAAGTCACTGTAAATATTCCCATTGAATTCAAACAATTTTTATACCCAACTTTAAAAATAGTCCTGTTCTTCTCTTACTGGATTAGCACAGAACTAGTATCTCACAAGATGTACTTGTGAGCATAATGCATCTTTCTTCTGTCCTAAAACTAACAGTGATTGAATTATAGATGTTATAAAAGTAAAACGTGAGGCTGACTTGCTCCCTTAAAAAAAAAAAAAAAAAAAAAAAAAAAAAAAAAGTAAAAAGTTAATTGTGGCCAGAAGCTCAACAACTAAAATTAATAAGATGTATTTGGAAACGCAGGCAGCATGGGAGAGAGAACAGTTTACAGAGCATTTAGCTAAAGCTAGTGATATTTAATACCTCAGGGCCTGACAAAATTTATACTAGAGCAATTACAGAACTTCTCATAGTTAGCTCTGAACTGCTACTTATAGGCTTTGAGAACCAAGGAGATTTGGTTTATGTATTAGAGAACTAGTGAAAGATACTCCTCAGCTAAACCTGCTTCTAGCAGATGGGGGAAAAAAAGAGCCTGCAGAAATCTATGCTAATGAACATAATATCAGCACACAGAAGAATACTGCTAGCTACTTATTAAACAAAGTCTAAGTATGTAGAAGACTGTGAAATAAGACTGATTGTCTTATAAGATGAAGTACAGACTGATCAACAATAAGACATGTAGAACTGTAAGAGGTGAAAAATATGGGGTAGAGCTGATAAAACGCCACAGGACTCTTTATTTAGTAAAAGCTGTTGACAAACTTATAAGCACACTAGAGAAGAGTGTTATAAATGAAGTGATTGTAAAGTGGATGCTGCCATTTGAAAAAATAAGATTATAAAATATTTTTTAAGAGTTGTTAAAACTGTGGGGAAGTGAAGAGTGAAGAGAACAGTTTTCTCCTCCAACTTCCCAACCTCCTGTCTGGCTGCTGAGGTTCAAACTAGTGCAGGGCACATGTGATCTCTGACCAGGCTAGGAAACTTGGCTGCTTCATTCTCCTTGCCATGCTTGAGGAAAATATAGCCACTTGCCTCCCCCAGCAATGGGCACCTACTGTGACCCAAAACTATACTCCAGCTACCTGTGTCAAGCCTCACACTTGCCTCACTCATCAGTAGCTGATTTGGGAATACACACTATTCCTGCCCCAGTGATCAGGAGTAGAAGACTCCAACTCCTCCAGTATCTTATACTAGGACTCCACTGGGCCCAGTAAGTAACGTCACAAGCTGGGGGCATCTACGTCCCTGTGCTGACCTCAGTAGCTGGACAAGGTAAATTTAAGCAAGCTCTTCCAGTAGCTACTCTGGAAAAAAAACCTTTTAAATTCAGAGTTTTGCCCCACAACTACTGATGCTAAGAGCACCACTTGCTTCAGTAGCTGGCACTATAGTCCTCAAGGACTACACCCATGGCATGTCTCCAGTAGCTAGAACCAATTCCATTCACACACATAGGTCTCACTAGTGACTGAAACATACTTCTTTCAGGGCATATATGTAAATGTGTAAATACAAAGAGATATATAAGAACAAAAAGAGATAAAGTTTTAGAAGATAGGGCAAACTGTAGTGATCAAATACAGGGTACATTCAGACAACAAGCTAATAAGGATCAAAATTTCACCCACTGCAAGAGCAGACCAAGTCAATCCCTCATGGGACTGAAAGCATGTAAGTCTATGGGGCCTTACTATATAAATCACATGGTCCTGAAGGAACAGGCTGTAAGTCATAGAATCACTCAGGTTGGAAGAGACCTTAAAGATCATCTAGTCCAACCATGACTTAACAATACTACCCTAACTAACAATCCTCCACTAAATCATATCCCTGAGCACCACATCTGAACAGTTTTTAAACACATCCAGGGATCATATTTAAAAAGTTGTAGTTATGAAGGTGTTCTGCTTACAAAGAAATAAAATTGCTTCTGACAGGTTCCAAGCAATACTAGATAAAGAAATTGGAGGTGATCCAACAGTCATGTTCACAAAGAAGAACTGCACTCACCCAACAGCTGAAGGGGCTCTCCAGCTGTGCAGCACTCTCTCCCAAGAAGTAACTTAGATACTCAGTAGTAAGTAAGTAAGTAAGTAAGTAACTTAGGAGATAACCTCACTTCATTAGCTAGCACTTATATGAGCCCATGATCCACACTGAGTCCACCCCTTCTGGCCACGTGGGAATGAAAGGTGCAGGCAATTTGCCTGTGCTCCCTTGGCCAGCTACACCCTTTCACCAGGTGCTCAACTGACAGTTCAAGCTGTGACCTAACACGCCTCCTACCCAGGAGAAGCTTTCATGACTGGAAAAAAAAGGAAAGATCTCATTTTCAAATAACTCATTTTCAAGGAGGGAGAAAGGAAGATCTGGGGAACAGATGAGTGAGCTGCACATCTGTGCCTGGGGAGATCATGGAACACATTCTCCTGGAAGCTATGTTAAGACACATGAGGGATTAACAAGTGATCCAAGACAGCCAGCATGGCCTTACCAAAGGCAGATCATGCCCAACCAATCTGGTAACTTTCTATGATGGAGTGATGACATTGGTGAACAATGGAAGGGCAAGTGATGTAATCTACCTGCACTTCTATAAGATCTTTGACATGGTTCTGAACTACAAATTTATTTATAGATACAGAAATATGGATTGGAAGGCTATTTGGTGGATAAATAATTGGTTGGGTGGTCAAAACCAGAGTTTTGTGCTCAACGACCCTATGTCCAGGTGAAGGCTGGTCACAAGTGGTGTCTCCCTGGGGTCTGTTTTAGGACTGGTGGTTGTCAATATCTTTATCAGTGATCTGGAGTGTGGGAGTGAGTATACTCTCAGAAGGTTTGCTGATGACACTAAGCTGAATGGTATAGTTGAGACAATAGAAGGAAAAAATGCCATCCAGAGAAACATAGACATGCCTGAGAAGTGGGCCTATATGAAACTAGGTTCAATGAAGTTCAACAAATCCAAATGCAAGATGTTGTACATGGATCATGGCAAACTCAGATACGTATATAGACTGAGAGGAACTGAGAGCAGCCCTGCCTAGAAGGATTTGTTGGTCTTGATAAACAAAAAGCTTTCCATGAGACAGCAGTTTGCACTTGCAGGCTGGAAGGCCAACAGTATTCTAGGCTGCATCAGAAGAGGGGTGCCAATAGGGAGAGCGAGGGGATTGTCTCTCCTTACTCTGCTCCTGTGAAGCCCTCTCTGGAGTACTGCATCCAGGCCTGGGGCCTCCAGCACTAAAAGGATATGAAGGTGTTGGAGCAGGTCCACAGAAGGGCCCCAAAGATGATTAAAGGCCTGGGATACCTCTCTTATAAAGAAAGGTTGGTGAAGTTGGCCTGGGCTCTAGAGAGACCAAATTGTTGCCTTCCTGTACTTGAAAAGGGTTTATAAGCTGGAGAAGAATGACTTTTTACAAGATCTAATAGTAATAGGAAAAGGGGAAATGAATTTAAACTGAAAGAGGGAAAATTTATGTTAAATGTTATTGAGAAAATTTTTACACAGAGGGTTGTGAAGTATTGGAACAAGCTGCCCAGAGAAGCTGTGTATGCCCCCACTCTGGAGGTGTTCATCTAGGTTAGGGCCCTGGGCAACCTGATCTTGTGATTAGAAACTTTGACCATGGCAAAGGGTTATTCCAACATCAGTCATTCCATAATTCTATGATATTATATACAATTGATCCTTTTATACCCTTTTCAATCTACCTACTTTCTTAGCTCCATCCTGCTCCTACTTCTCCCTGCACAACCCTACCAGTCTGAGTTTTCTGGCGCCCTCCCAATCTGTGGCTCCTTAGTTCATACTGTATGCAAGATTCATATTTTCTGGAAGTGGAGCCTATATTATGATATCAGTTAGTGTGACTGGGAGGTTTGTTTCTTGTCTCCAATCATAGATGTCCTCAATCAATCTTGCTGAAATAAACATTTCCACATTTTCATAAATTAGGATGACTGACCAGGCTTCCCATCAATGCCTCTCTTCCTCTTTGTACCATGTTGCATTGGAGAAAAGCTCCCTGAAAGGAACAGACACTCTCCTCCATGCCTTCACAAAAATCCTCCCTTCAAACTGGAAAAAAAAGAAAAGAAAAAAATACAATATTTCAATATTTCACGACTCCAGAATGCAGTGCTGTCTTAGTCAAAGATAGCTAAACTAATGCAGTACTATTTACAGGTACTTTCAGTCTCTCCAGTGCTGATTATTTGCTTTCCATATATAGCATCGTAATTCTGAACATCCTTTATTTGAAGCTGGTAGGGATATGTATATCTAGCACTGCATTACACTGCATATCCAATGAACCTGCATGGAAAAAGAAATATTATTTATTATTTAATGTCTTGAATGATAAAAATAAAGAAACAAAACAAAACAAACGCTTAAGTATGTGGCCGTAATCAACCTTGATGGGATTATAAAATATATGCAGAATAGAATTAGAATTTAGAATGACTGTGATCAACTGGAGAAATGGGCTGAAAGTGATTAGAGGAAATACAAAGGTAAGAAAAATGCTGTATTTAAGGAGAAATCAAATGTAGGAACCTACAGCAGAGATAAAGCTGAATTAATCCGAGCTTGAATAAAAACATGAGGTTGTTCAAAAAAGCAAATCTCATTTTGAAGTATGTTAAGAAAATGACTGTAAATAAAGCAATCAAATATTTCCTCTTTCCTTTGCAATAACAAATTCTTAAATTGAAACCAGGGAATTATTTAAAATCTCCACAAAGCCTTTATTTTGAAGAAGTTATTGCCATCGGAAACTATTTTTCCTTATACTATGATAAAGAAAAGAAAACATAGGTGCTCTGAATTGCATTGGAAGGGTATGAAGAATGTAAACCTATTAATAGTCTAATTTTGTCTTTGTTTATAATTCTTTTAAGAAAAACATGAAGTGGTTAGAGAGGTTGAGCAAACAGAGTTCTAGAATACTTAGACGGTGAAATCTCATCTGCTTATAAAATTACATCTATGAGGAAAGACTAAAGAAACTGGAATTGTTTTCATCTAGAAAAGTGAAGGCTTGTTTAGACCATAATATCAATTTCCAAATCCGTAAAGGATAGGTACTGAGAGGCGGTAACTACTTGTTTTCCAGATCAATGAAAAGCAGGACAGAAAAAATGACATATTTAATTTTCACTCAAGCAGGTTTCCATGAAACACTGAATTATCTAATTCTGTGAGCCAGGCATATAAAACTGACAGAGTAATTTATTATTCAGCACCAAAGGAAAAGTATAGAGAAATCATGTCCATTCACTTTTACTGGACTCCTTGTAAAATAAAGTGGAGTGTAAAATGAGTGAATGTATCAAAATCTATTCCTACTTGAGCTATCGGCTTTATAGAAATATGTCTCTGAAATTATTCCGGTTGCATGATGGAAGTACGTATTTTTAACTGATTCAAATCTCCAGTAACTTTAGAATAAATACAAATAAAGAAAATCCAAATTAAACTAAATCATTCTGTGAAATAAACATAATTTGAAGCCAAAATTACAAATCAAAATACATTTCAGAAAATCTAATAGGAACTAAATAGTTTAATCCAGTCTCATACTTCGCTAAAAATAAAAGAGAAATACAAAGGGAATCTTATCACTTTGATGTGAAAGCAGTCTAAACTTCTACAAAAATAAAAGTGTACATATTTTCATGTAACTATTGTAACTGTAACTGTAACATCCACTATTGAAATATGTTGTGCAGGTGAAATTACCTGTGCACAAAGAACAATATATTTCTCACTCCCCAAAAATGAATTGGAAATGTTTGTCAAAATTATCTTTTCATCTCTTTCTCTCCTCTTCTATCACTGCCTGTTTTTTTCTCCTTACTCTTTTCTTCTTTAATCCCTGCCTGATACTGAACTCTTCTTTTCAGGGAAAAAAAAAAAAAAAAAAAAGTTGTAAAGAAATAAATCTTTAATCCGATTCTGAGCAGATGTCTTCTGATCAGGCTTATGTTTGGTACAGAGTAAGTCCAAAACAAAAGACCAGACAGAAAGATGGCTTAGTCTCTCCCTGTTCTGAATCTCATATCTGATTCAGAAACTGTTATGACTTTTCATTGTTATGACACAAAGCTGTCCTCAAGAAATCTGTCAACCTGATAAACTTCATATACTAGAATTGCAAATACAGACTCATCTGTTTATAAGAAGGGCCAGTGTGCTTTGTATGATATCTAAAATGTAATAAGGCTAATTTATTTCTTTTAGTCTACTTTTCTGAATCTTATACATCAATGATGACACAGGGTAGTTACCAGCACTCACTTGACCTCACCTGTGTAATCTTTTTATTTTGCCAGCGCAGGTCATCTTGATACTTCCTATCCAGTTTCAGGATTTACCTTTGTACATACAACTGTACTAAAAGGAGTATATCATTATTGTTAATAAGTACTACCGCTTGTTTTTCTGCTGAAGAAAGATTTGGTCATTAAAGACCAAACATGATGAATAAATTACTTCAGTTATGAAAACAAACAATGTATGTGTTTTCTGAGATTAGCACAACAAGCTGACTGCAGGAATGAGAAGCAATGGTCATATCATTACAATAATATATCTAAATGTCATCGCCATAGTTTCAAAACCTGTGCTTCCAGAAGTGGATTTATTTTTCTTTCTTTTAATCATTTCACTGGTAACCAGGGCTATTGAAAGCATGTCAAAACATCGAGTGCTTAGGAGAGATCGTCCCCCATTCCTGTGAAACTGAAGTTATTTATGCTGACAACACTAAATGATCATCTTTTGAGTGACTGTCTGGAATGCTGGTGGCTGAGCCAGGGGCTGAAACACATGGGAAGAAGCTTTTTCAGTCTAAACTGCATCTGCAGGCAACAGTAAACTTTTCTCCTTTCTGACTTGCCCTTTTGTTGCTATTGAAGCCTTGAACATATCTAAAATGGAATTCAGCTAACATAAAGAAATAATTTATAGATATCTTTTCTCACCACCGGCTTTCTACACACACATTAGGTAGAAATAGGAACTTATAAAAGTAAGGTATTTCCTAAGACTGATACCAGAGA